GAGCTGAAAGGAGAGGGATGGGAAGGAGGACTAAGAAGAGGAGGAAGAAAGGGAGAAAGTAGGCGGAGTAGAAAGGAGAATGAGGGGAGAGGAGGAGGAATGGAAAATTAAGGTAAAGAGGGGTAAAGACTGGGGGAAAGGAGGGGGAGAACAAAGGGCGAAGAAAGGAAGGAGGAGGGCGATAAATAATGCAAATGACAGAGGTTGAAAAAGAGGGGGGCACGAGAGAAGGAAGAGAGAGAGAGAGAGAGAGAGAGAGAGAGAGAGAGAGAGAGAGAGAGAGAGAGAGAGAGAGAGAGAGAGAGAGAGAGAGAGAGAGAGAGAGAGAGACGAGAGAGAGAGAGAGAAGAGAGAGAGAGAGAGAAGAGAGAGACCGAGAGAGACCGAGAGAGAGAGAGACAGAAGAGAGAGAGAGAGAGAGGAGAGAGAGAGAGAGAGAAACAGAGACAGAGAAAGACAGACCGACAGAGAAACAAAAACAGAGTGAGAAATACAAGCAGACATAGAGAGAGAGAGAGAGGGTAGGCAGGGTACAGAAAAGGACCGAGGGGACGCGACGAAGGGTATCACGTGACGAGGCGGGCAGCGGAAGGTACGAGGCACAGGTGCGCCAGAATACAACAGAACGGGGAACAGAAGGAGAGAGATATTGGGAGGGACGAGACATGCAAAAACACCGGGGGAGGGGGGGGGGCTTCGTGTTCCGTTTGGGGCATAGCGGAAGGAGGAGGTGAAGAAGAAGGAGGAGGGAGTGAAGAAGGAGCAGAGAAGAGTAGAAAAGAAAAGAGGAGAGGAGAGGAGAGAGAGAAGAGGAGAGGAGAGGAGAGGAGAGAGAGGAGAGGAGAGAGAGAGAGAGGAGAGAGAGGAGAGGAGGAGAGGAGAGGAGAGAAAGGAGAGGAGAAGAGAGAAGGGAAGAGCGAGAGAGGAGAGGAGAGAAGGAAAGAGGCAAGAGAGCCAGAGGAGAGGCGAGAAGAGGAAAGAAGAAGCGAGAGAGGAAAGGGGAGGAGAAGAGAGGAGAGGAGAGGAGGAGAGATGTGAGGAGAGAAGAGAAGAGGAGAGCAAACAGAAGATGGGAGAGAAGTGAAGAGAAAAAAATGGAATTAAGAGATGAGACGAAATGAAAGGAGACGAGAAGTAAAGAGAAATAAGAAAAAAAAGTTAAAGAAAGTAGAAAAAAAGAGAAGTAGAGACCAATCGAACAGAGAAGATAGGTGAGAGGAAAAGAAGAGAGAAAGTGAAAAGAGAAAAAAGAAACGAGAATGGAAAACGAGAAGATTGTGGCCTTACGGTGGCAGAAGGGAGACAGAGTAGACGGGGAAGGAATAT